CCTCAGCCAGGGTCAACCCACCACATTAAGTAAACCTGAATCCTATTGGGATGAAAACTGTGGTGTACAAAATTGTCTTTAGTTAATAAAGTAATGTTGATGCAACTTCAACATTGGAAAAATCAAACACAGAAGATTCAGGGAAAAGTAAATGTTTTTTAAAGCCCTAAGTCCTGTTTATCCATTGCATTTTTACTGTTTGCAGTTATCGACATAAATCAGATTGCATTATTGTCTGTGTTTCACAGCAAGAATACTATACACAAGATCTTCAATCGGTATAGATAAATGGGTGAAGGGACTAAAATGGAATGGTTCACATCAACTTTGGGTCTTGCTATAGGTTTACACAAAAGTAATTCAGCAGAAATATTTTTTCCATATTTTCTCACTTGGATGCTTCCTGCTGCATGCCTCATTAAACTGACCTAGTGACTCATTAGAGGAAGGTGGCTTTAGAAGAATATCGACATGTGCTTTTGTTAGCATTAGCAAATGTTTGGCTTCTTCAATTGTATCGTGTGTGCGCGCGCATGGGTGTTATATTTATGCTCTGGAGATTTTATGCATGATAAAGTAAGACCTTTAACACAGCCAAATCAACCTTGTCATCATTCTCTAAAACTGTCTTTTGTATAAATACTGGCCTGATCCACAGTACAGCAAATCTGCAGCTTCATCTTAGCCAATAAATCAATGACAGCTTACACCAGCTGAAATTACAGGAGGAAAACATGGACTAAATGTTTTTTCTTTAAGCATAGGTGCTGTTTCAGTTAAATCAATAATATTACTCATGAGGAAAACAAACCAGATTTGATCTAATGTCTTCAACAAGCTAGTGAAATTTAAAAGTTAAACTAAAAGCAATATTCCATTACAGGATACCACTGATGGGACCATAAAGGACTACACGTTCTCGTAACTTGGCTTCACCATATTAAGATAGAACTCTGTTCCAGCTCATCAACAGCCACAAAATAATCACTGACTAAACCACAGACTATCTAGTGTGCAGATGGGGTTAAAATGGCCCTTACCTATTATCAACATGATCATGTTGAATATAAATTACATGCTATTATTCAGTTACATAACTTCTATTCTCCTCAATAGACCAGGACAAATTCCAGTGAAGAAAACTACAGACCCTAGAACTATTTCGTTCTTTTGTAACACAAAGAGTCATCTCATGAAATGAGTCAGAATTTGCATTCACTTCTACAGGCCTATACAAAAACTGGTAGTTTTTCTCTAGGCTTTCATATAATCTTTTCATTAACTATTACATGTTTAAAATTATTAATGCTCCATATCAAAATAAATCAAAGACCATCAGTAAAATACAGAAACAGTCCATTTCATGAGTATAGGGTGATTTAACACACTCAGAGGCGGCTCTGTACTGAACTCTGTATAGCCTACAATAGTGTATGACATCTCAGGCCACATTATAACTTCAGAGAAGAGTTCTATCTAGTTCTTGACAGGTATAATGGGCTTCTCAATGAAGCACAAATTCTATTTACTGTTAGCTATATTCTGCATGCACAGATTTCCTGCTTCAGAGCTAGATTATAAAATGGTAAATGCTCATGTACACGACATTCTGACAAGCCGTTTTATGGATATGTATAGAACATGACACCACAACTTTTACATCCCCAGCCACTAATTAGCAACATTCTTTTCTGTAAAACGTATACTCAAGTTCCTGATCCACTTTCAAATGTGACTGAATACTTAATATAATGACTAGTAAAGAGGTTGTCAAGGCTTCTTTTTTTCATTTTAGATTGGAATTTAACATTTTGTTACAAATATCTCATAAATTGTATTTCAGCTAACACAGTTCTCTCAATATTTTTTCAGTAGAAAATGCATACAAATGTAGAAGCAAAAGAGTAAACAATACCAAAGCAGCAGCAAAGTTGTTTTAGTATTTATGCGGGAGGAACTCTGGGCTGTGAGGTAACAGTGGTAGCAGCTCCCAGAGATATCAGATAGAAAAATCATAGAGTCCCCAGGTAAGTCCCTACAGTCTCACGTCCTATCTTTCTCTTCAGAAACATGAAATGGCACAGCATTGGTGTGTGATTCCCTATATCCTCTCTCACCGTACAAGTCCTTCATAGATCTGAGCCTATGACCATGACTGAGCAGAGCACTTAAAAGGTATATTCAAGCAGTTTGCTGAATTTGCCATTAGCAAAACCCACAGGTTTGTTTGAAGAGACACACCTTGGGTAAAATTTTCCACTGAACATCCCTCTGTGATAGAAACTAGTTTTACACATCTGTAAAAATCTTCTTGTGGGGTTTCTTAAGCCATCTACTCATAGAATCATAGAATGACTTAGGTTGGAAGAGATCTTTGGAGATCATCCATCCAACCACATAATCAAAGGAGGGCTAACTTTACCATTAAACCATGTTGCTTGGGACCTTGCTAAGAAATTTGAATATGTGCAAGGATGGAAATTTAACAATTGTTCTGCTCTTCTCACACTGCAGAAATCATGAATCATAGACTCTTACGCCCTAGATTAATTGCCAACCCTCATTTGACACAGCATTTAAGCATGTGAGTAGCAACAACCTGACATACTTCCTTATATTAGTTATTGAAGTTGCATCTCAATAAAATTAATATCTACCATCTTTATGAATAATTTTGAATGTGGAGAGTACATGTTTTTCAGATGACAGCTGAAGGGATGTAAAGAAAGATGGCAATGTTGCAACAATGAATTTTACAACCTGTTTATTGGATAATATGCTTTTCCACTCCCACATGGCTAGAAGTACAGTTATCTTGGAAGAGTATTCTGAAGAAATTACCTCTGCCTTTGGTCTTGTTTTAAAAAAGTCTCTTTCATACACTGCCTTTTGACTGAAAACAGAAGGGAACAATAATGCATAAGCATTGGCCTCATCACCATAATTAGTTCTGTCACTGATGCGGTGAACTCGAGGAGCAGGAATATCAGAACGAATAGTTGGAACACCACACACTGGATAACCTGTGGAAATCAATCAACAGGCAGCATGCAAAAGCCTGTATGTAAAGATAGTGCCAGAGAGGATAAAACATTTTGTGTGAAATGGAATAAATTTGATACTTCATCTCACATAGGTTCAATAAGAATTTATATCATTTTATTCCTCATCTCTTTTTTTCATATTTTTAGAATTCCTAGCTTCAGCTGCATCATGAAGCATGACAACAGGAAATCTTGCAGTAATATTCTAACACTTACCCAGTACTTGCAGCTAAAACATTTTTAGGTGATTCCAAGAAGATATTATTCTCCTAAAATTACTAGCAAAGTTTCTCAAAGACTTTCATGTTTTGAATGGATTAACCATGCCAAACATCCAAGCAATGCCAACTTCCAAGCCACAATCCTAAATAAATTTAGTATAGATAAATGAATTCACTATTGTACATTAGTAGAACATGTAGCAATACTTTTTAAACTTGTTCCTGATTTTGTCTTAAATAACGCTCTGAAGTGAGAAGTACAGTCCACTGTACTTACAGGTTGTTCGGAGACCACCTACTACAGCATTATACTGAGAAGAAGTTGTTTGATAATTTGCAAAGGCATGATCTGTTGATCGTTTAAGTGTTGGCGTCTTTTCTGAGCTTCCCAGTTCTTTTAACACAGATCTTCCCGCTTCAGCAGTGGCTCATCATTTGTCTTTGTGTCTTCAGGCAGAACAAGAGCATCTAGTTTTTTCCCTATAAACAAAAGTTATGATACAGTCAGGATTTATTATCAGCACATTATAGACTAAGAGGTATAAAACATTGCTTGAATCCTTGAAAAACTATAAAGTAGATAACATAATCAATCTAATAATGATTCTATGAGATTTTTTTTTACTGTCTCCTGATTTATGGCACATTCTCAACAAGCAACACAGAACTCCAGGGTTCTGAGATACATTTGTATCTGAGGCTCTGCTGGTGGCCTGCAAGGAGTAAATGCTCTCTCTAAACCCTATTCTTCTAAAGGAGCACCTAGCCTACACCAACAATCTCTTTCAATAGCTTTTGTAAGAACAAGATCATCTCCACAATTTCCAAGTATTAAGTCATCAACCTTTTGTAATTATTTTTTCTTCAAACTCTTTAACAGCCATTTTGTCTTTCCAGTTCAGAAAGTTTGTAAACTCCAGGTAATTAATCAGACCATCTTTATCCAAATCACAGTAGTCAAACAAGGAACCCAGGAGCTCATCGTCTAGATTCAGATTAAGCTGAAAACAGGACTTTCGCAGGTCATCCTTGTCTATCATTCCATCACCATTCTGTTGTAAATAAAACAGTTATCATTATAAAAAGGCTCCACCAACAGGAACACATACACATATGTGTTTATATATACAGATAGAGATATAAATATATAGCACTAGACATACCATTTCAGAAGAGTAACACTGCCGAGTACAAAAAGAAACTGAGTAATTTAGAAATAAAAATATGAAAAATGCCAATAAATAATTTTCAACAAGTAATACAGTGATCTGAGATTAAAAGAAAGTCAGTGTGACAGGGTATTGTGACAAGATAACAATCTAATCATAAATGTTGAGCCAAAGCCAAGATTTCTTCTGAAAGTAAGGCATCAATCATTCTGTATACATTACAATTAATGTTACATATGAAATGTCAATTATAAATTATTTTTCAAAGAGAAAAAAAAGAAAAGATATGAAATTCTGATGCTTGGTGACTCAGTCAAAAAGTACAGCTTGGAAGAAAATATGAACATAATCCCTTCAACTGTATTTCTTTTAAGAAGAAACACCAAATTTTGAAGAGCAAAAAATGCTAAAATTATTTCTGCTTACAAGTCCCTTGCTTGCTGTTAGCTTGGATATTCCAAATACCGTTGTGTTTAATTCCGTAACTTATCACAGTATGTTAAACTCACAAAAATTTTGAAGTTACCTTTTCTTTATAGTCTTCATCTATATTTGCCTTGCTATGCTCGTGTTTCTTTATGTCTGTATCTCCATAGCACAGGAGCGCTCATGTTACACACTCCTTTACTTTTATACATTTTCAAAGCACTAACCTTATCATAATGCCTGAATGCTTCTGGTAACGTGTCAAAATTCTCATAGTTAGCTTTCTTCAAACTTTGCCGAACTGCAATCAATGTAATATTTCAGATAATTATATACCATTGATTTCTAGAAAGACAATGTACTATTTCTGTGTTACTCTTCCCAGTTTCTACATATCCTAACTTTATTAGTGTTTTTAAATGCTTTGGCACACTGAACTACAGTCTTCATCCAAGTGCCCCAGACAGCAAGGTCACTTTCTACAGTGCAAGAAGTTCATTCACGGTCCAATAACAAATAGCAGTAGCTGACCTAATCCCCTTCTAACAGCAATGTACACACATTCTTTTCTACTTGTTAATAACAAATTTTTTTGTTCAGTTCCTTCCGCTGTTCATTATAGGACAAGCATACTTAAACATTGAAAATATTTATTACCCTACATAGTAAAGCACATATAAAAGGTTATGCAGAATTTGAGCAAGGCTTCTCTGGTCTTGACTAATTAAATAAATTTGAGCCACTTACATTTTTTGCTGCCTAACTATTCACTTTATTCCCTAGTCATTAAATATAATATTAAAACACCATCAATCCCAATATTGACGATTTGAGTTGACTAGTTTTCAAAACTTTGTCACAATGAAAATTAGTATTTTTTTAATTTTCATTCTCTTTTCTGTCTCTCTGCTACTTTCAAAAACTTACTATTCTTATTTATTACTTGTTATTTTTAGTCTTTTTATATAAGCACTGGAAAAATCATTAAGACACATACTTGATTTAAATAGCCATTTTAACTTTGTCACTTAGATGTCAATACGAGTTTTCTGCCATTTCCCATTTTGCTGACATTCAGATACAGAGGCTTTAAAAAAAACCAACACAAAAACTCCCCATGAACATCCAAAAACTAAAGTTTCTTTATTTCTGACATTCTTTTTCTTTCCCCCTAGCAATTTGAATTCTTCTCAAATTTTCCCTCCAAAATTTAGTGTCACTTTTAATTTTTTGTACCTTGCCTCTAAGACTAGGAAAATTCTATACTACACAACCAACAGTAATCACATCAGCATAGTTTCATCAGTAAGATAAACTTTTATTCTGCCCCTGAACTTACCATATTCATCTGGATGGAGTAACATTCCAAATGTATGGTCTGGGGGAACATTCATAGTTTCTGCTATACTGTCAATAAGCACATTTCTTTGTTAATTGTCAAACAAGTTTTTAATAGCCAAAATAAACCCTACACTATTATTAAAAAAATACGTGATCATCTGTTATATAATTAGGGATGATACCCATAGTTCACCTGAAATTTGTTTATCAGTACTTTGCTTCAAAGTTGCCATTCCAGAAAAGCATCCCTTCATAAGCTGGTTTAGAACATTCGCTGTTCGTAATATAACACAACAAAATGTAAACATTAACTTTTTGAAGAGACTTATACTCATTAAAAGGAAAAACATTCCATGCTAAAATACTTTTTTTTTTCCTAAGATAATTACAGAAATGAATGAGAAAAGTCCTTATAACATACTTGTCAAATAATAGGAAAGTTTACGACAAACCAGATCTCCAACTGAAAGAATGTCTCCAAATAAACTACTTTTGGCTAAAGTGGAAAAATTGAATCACATTTCACATGCTTTTTCACATGCAATTTTGTGTCTACCAAAACCAGCAACTAAGCCAATATTCATCTGGAAAACTCGGCCCAGAATTTTATTTACCAGAAAATTAAGATGCTCTTGGTGACATTAAAGAACTGTTTATTTCTTAATTTGAAAAAGATGCAATGTTCATTTTATCTCTATATCTAATAATTAAAACTGATACATGAATCAGAAATCACCATCAAAATTGAAAAGAGAATCAGTGTTTTGTTCTAAAATAGAAAAAAAACAAACAATAAAACCCACACAGAGATAGAAGTACTGTCATCTAAAAATTACTATCTGTATTTTTCATTTATCACTTTCATATTACACATAGGACATGGGTGGTGTAAAATTCACTAAATAAAATTAGGTTAGCTTGTATCTGTCTTGTAATATTAGTGCTGGGTTTGAGCTTGCCCTCAACCCATATTCCCTGACTGATCACACTGCCTCATGTTGCTCACACTCCAGGCCTACTTCACAGTAAGCTAGGACACAGTGAAGCGGAGAGGAGAAGGTGGTTCACATTTGTGTTCACGCCCTACGGGTACTATGGGCATCGTCCTCCAGAGTCACTTAAACCTGTGATCTTGAGCTTAAAATTGAAATTTTCTACCAAAGTCAATAATGTTGTTTGAGTCTTCAGCTACAATTTTACAGAAATCTAGAGCATCCCAGATTTGTAGCACAGCTGGATCCTGACCACACTGTACCTTAGAACTACTGGAGCTCTTGATAAGCACTGTTTTGTAAAATTAAAAAGCTGTTCCAGATCACCTGAGGTTTATGAAGCATTGTAATAATTCAACTAAGATTGATACATGCTGCTAGATAATAACACAATTCAGTTCTGAGTCCTTTTCCTAGGAAGTAATAATGTGAAAATACAAGTGATGTAACAAAGATCACCAAAAACAGTGTCAGAGTAAAATGGTCAAATCCCCAAATAATAGGTGAGACATTTAAGTTCTTTCAAACCTTCCTAACTGCAAAAGAAAGGAAAAAAAATGAAGCGTTACAGTGTGCTTATAATTTGCTTGGTGCAAATCTGATCAATTCAGATATAGACTATTTAAACAGCAAGACTTAACTTCACCACATAGACACAATACAGCCCTCATTAGTAACTTGCATACTTACCAGCCCAATTAGGGCAAGTAGAAAGTCCCTTTCTGTAATTAAGTGCTGCAGTGGAAGCATTGAGCACACAGTTATAATTTTTACCCAAGACAGAAAAAGATATTGGAGACTCAGCAAACATGAGTGAATTTCGTTCTTGGAAGGTATTTTTGCTTACTTATGGATCAAGAACTTTTCCAATCTGAGGCTGAAATTTTTCCTTGAAATCATCACTTCGTTTTGATACAATTTTTGCTGCTCTCTTCCTACAAAATATGAAAATAACTCTCACACATTTGTTTAACAATATTCAGCATTCTTCAATAATATTAAAAATATTATTATATGTTAAAAGGAAACAACAACTCCTCTACAAGACAAACACAAATTTAGTAATTGGAAAATCTCACTATTTAAAATCAAAGATGTCTTACGTAATGCTAAAGATATGCCAAGTACTCTTATACTATGGTAGAACTGATTTGGATAAACTATTCTGAAAATTACTCCTAGCACTTTCTATTCAGTTCAATACAGCTAAGGATGGGATTGTGAGATGTAAAATTAACTTCAAATATGAAGACTCTTCTTGAGAACTCACACCACTAATTCACTAGTTAACTCATTGCAACTTACGATTGCAGATCATAGAGCCAATTTAAGGATTTGGATACACTTTGCCCATCTTTAAAGTGAGGGGTTTCTATTCCATAAGCAAAAAACTTGCTGAAGTTTGGTGAGTCATACTTCCTATTTATTGCTTCCCCTGTGGAAAAAGTAAGCGTTTCAACCTGTAAAAAACACCTCAGGAAGAAAAATGTACTAAATATCTTCATTCTTAAGATAAAACAATGAAGAAACAAAAGCAAATACCTTATTAACAATTCTGTTTGATTAAAGATAACTAATCTGCATTCTCCATGTTTATTAAGTAGTCAGGAATAATCCCATTGTCAAAAGTGAAGATAAAAGGCAAAATAAAAAGCAAAAACTGTTTCAGTGGTAAAATAGTTGTATGCCCTTCTATGTCTGACTAAACACAAGCCCAACAAAATTAATGAAAAAATTCCAGGTAGCCTAAGTAGCGAGGGTCACGCAAATAAATCACTTTATAATGCCTGTAGCTGAGCAGAGACATGTACCATTTAATTTACTATTTGTTAAAAAAAATGCTAAAAGGAAAAAAAAAAGGTTTTGAGGTGCTGCATTTTCAGATATGCTCTATGTTGACTTCAATGGAAATTTTGCCACTGACTTCACTGTAAACAAGGTATTACTCTACTTTTTCATTACTCTATTAATCCAGTCTTGCCTGTAAAATGAAGTTTAACATACATGAATATCACATAAGTACTCTATGTAAGTATTCCGCAAGCACATGTTTCTTGTCACAGAAAGAAATGCCATTCTGTTTCTTCCTGCTCTTTTCAATCACTTGACAAGAATGATAAATAGAACTTAAAAAAAATATTATTCACTACATGCTTTCTAACAAGGGCTTCCTCTGGCTGTATGGCAGCATGGAATTTTTATGTTATTGTTCCAAACTGGGGCAGACAGCTGACTTTTTTTTTTTGTTGTTGTCTGACTAGTTTTGGCTTGGCCTCTCCATGATCTTGTGGATGGAAATTACAAAGGAGACAGAAACTGATAATGAATAATTCCACTAAAACACCTAGTACAGGTGGGGAAAAGGAGAAATAAAATTACAAGTTTACACCAATTTATACCAATAGTATAAATATGTACCATAGTACCCGTAGTAGAATTTCTCAATGAGTGAGCACAGTACTGTAATTTCACTTCTATGTAACTGCCTCCAGGTAAAATTTACATTATTACGACTGAAATATCTGTATTGCAATTTCTGACAGGTTTGGCCTACACCTATAAAACTGTTGGCACTAGTGCAATGGGCAATTTTACTATAATACTAATCTTACAGACCAGCAATGAAAGTCTCTCAGCCTGTGAAAATGATGGAACTGGGAAAAACAGAAGTGGCTACAAATGTAATACATGTACTGCATTTCCTCTGTTCCTGTGCAGACCTGCAAGATAAAGGGTAACTATCACTGAGCAGACCACTTCACACAAGCACAGCCCCCAGAGACTGAAACAGTGGAGACACAGCCCACTGGAAGGGCAGTGACAGAGGCTGTGAGACAGACTCACAAACTGGATGCTGCAGGTTGAGGAACCTGCATTCCAGAGAGCCAATCAGCAGCCTAAAATTCCTTGTAACCAGAGCTTGATGCTGAGCCCTCCATCAGAAACTCTAGCTGACCTGAAAGTCTCTTTGGATCCTGATAAAAGAGAGGAACCAGAGGTGAAAGTACTGGGTTGGGCTCACAGTCTGTGCCTTTAAGCCTGAGATTGCTCTCAGTGGCATAAACAATGCCAAACTCAGTAAGCAACCAGGGCATCTACAAGTTTCTAGATTCCTGGAAATACTTTGCTTTTCAAATAGCACCCAACAGAAATCAGGTTTCCAACTCCTTCCTTAAGTTCTTATACTGTCTAATACATCCACCATGAACTGATCTACAGTTCTAGAAACAGATCATGCTCTCTCAGTTGCATATAAGTATTTTTTTCACATCATTAGTTTTAAAAAGAATTTATATTGTATTAATACAATAGTAAAAAGTATTAGTTGATATCTCAAAAATAGCATACAATATGTGTTGAAGACACAATGAAGAACAAGTACCTCTATTTATATTAGAACTTTTAATGGGGTTTCTTATCAGCCTTTGAACTTACCCGCATAATAATCATTATGTGACACAACGTACAGATCATGCCCTTCTCTGGATTCTTTATCTACTTCCTCAAAAGTTTTTGGTGGATTTATAAGCTCTCCAGCTGACACATCTGGAAAGTAAGGAATGAATATATGGTTGGGATAGCTAAGAGAGGTGGCTGTTTTGTTTGGTTGTTTCTTAATTTTAAACAACATCTTGTTAGAGAAGATGATAATACTGTGGAAGGATGATGCTTTTTACCCCATTTCTTGTCCATCTATAGGAATCTTACAGCATAATGACATAGGACTGGGGGGGGGGG